AACCTTCTATTCTATTTTCGATGTTCTCAAGTTTACTCTTAAATAGAAATGTTTACTGTGCTTTTTTTAGAAGATATAATTATTACATGAAGTGAATTGTCTGACAAAGTACTTACATCTACCACTATCATAGTCAACTAGATGTAGCTGTAGATTTCCCTTTTCTTCTTCCAACTCTGCTATCTTTTGTGACAACTGATGCAATTCCTCATTAAGTTTTACAATTTCAGCATTCGCGTCAGATACTTTACTAAAGCTGTCGATGGTTTTCTGTAATTGTTTCAACTTTATTTTATAGCTTGATTTGACTTTTATCATATTTTTATTTGCAGCATCTATCTCTTCATTAAGCTGATCAATTTGACATTGTGCCGATTTCAACTTTTCTTTTAATGTTTGTACATCCTCGGGTATATTTTCAATGCCTTCTCCTTGCTGAGTTTCGTGGGCTCGAGAAGATTCTAGCGAATCGGTACAAACAGCAATGTCAACTTTATTAGTGTCACATTTAGATGTTTCAATTTGTGCTTGCAAGTTGTTTATAACACTTTCTTTTTCACTATTTTCCAACTGTAACTTGGATATTAAGTCATCTTTTTGTGTCAATAAATATTCTTTTTCTAAGATATCTTTATTCAGAGATTGCACTACCATGTCTTGTTTGACTGTATCGCTTTTGGCTTTTGATTTTTCTGTTTCTTGTTGTACAGGGTCGGTTGACAAACCACGCCAGGGTGATTTACTTTTGGAAGCGGCACTCCTTCCACCTTTTCGACTAGGATGAGGACTAGTGGGACCTCTTTTAGCCGGCGAAGTTGGCGTTGCTTTTTCTCTAGACTCCAGATTCAAAGACACGAGTTGATTTTCTAAATCTTTATTGGTCTGTCTCATTTGGCAATTTATATGTTCTAATAACTCAAGTTTTTTCGTCAACTCTTCCATAGTAGATATTTCAATAGTCCCCTTTTCCTCAGAAAACTCTTTATCTCCACCGTGCAATACCCCCGTCGACAATTCTTCGCCGGTTTTCTGAGTCAAAGCTTCAATTTGCTCTTGTAGTTTTAGAATTTCCTCTTTCTTTAAATCTAATTCTTCGGCTAATTTAGAATGAGCAACACTGATCTCAAACCGTGAATTTTCTAGTATGGAGTTAGCCTCCTCTAGACTTTTTATCTTTTCATCTCTTTCACTAAGTTGGTCGAGTAATCTCAGTTTTTCGTCTTTCCATTCAGTTTCCATTGCAATGAAATTTGACTGCATTTTTGTCATCTGTTGCCGAGTATCTTCGAGTAAATCTAGAGTATCTTTTTCTAAAACATTAAACATTTGTAAAATACACAGATAATATTGCAAATCACACTTACTCTACTCTATTCTCTCCTTACCTTTCTTGCTTAAACTATCAGTTATTAAAGTGGTTGCTTTATTTTTAGCTTCAATTACTTGGTCCTTTTCATTTATTTTTTCTTGTAAATCTAAAATTGTTGTCTCAAGTGCTTTAATTTTGACTTGCATTATACTTAAAGCATTTTCTTTTTCTTTGACACTATTTATTAATTTTGCAACATCCGTATTATCAGCACTCTGAAATTAACGTTTTATGTATTTTTTTTAAACAAACTAAATTGATACATTCCTACAAAATTGACGTATAATAGTTACTATAACGATAGTTGCTAAATATTTACCTTCCTCACTTCTTGCACAACCGTAGTATCTGAAGGCTCTCTTTTCACAGACATTGATTTTCTCATAGGCCTTTTACTAATTTCTTTATATTGTTTTATCCTTTCCATTAATAGCTCTTTTTGCTTTAAAGTGTTTGCTAAACTTTCACTAATGCCAGGAACTGCAACATATTTGATAAATCATATATTATATATAAATGTTATAATGCGAAAGTTACGATGGATGAATGGATGTTTGTTAGCGTTTGTGGCCTAAACGGCTGAATCGATCTCCATGAAATTTGGCGTAGGTTTAGAGCATAGTTTGGAAGAACACATAGGCTACTTTCTATCCCGGGAATAGTTACGGTTCCCGTGGAATTCATTAATTTAGTTTTTTTTAGTGTTTACTCTATCATTCTGTAACGGTTCAACATATCTTATTGAAATTTGGCACAGATATAAAACAAAGTCTGGAGTTCACATGGGATTAGGGTTCATCCCCGAGAAATGGTTCCCGAGGGATACGTAGATTTTTATCATTTCTATAGTTCGTATATTTTTTAATACCACGCGAACGAAGTCGCGGGAAACAGCTAGATCTAATAAGTTTTTTTGGGTTTTTTGTCGTTAAAACAATTTTAGGAGTTCCAAAATCGTATAAAATCGGACCAGATCGAAGATCGAACCAGACAGATAAACAGATTTTAGGTATTTGCTTTTCGATATCAGCAACGCAATTGGATCATGTATACAAAATCTTATTTTTGAGGGTATCACAAAGATACTCCAAATATTATAGGATAAATATGTAGATAGACAACTAATGTAAATTATGTATATCGAATTCAAATTTAAAATGTTTTAACTACGGAAATTCCTTGTTCAAAAATATGTTGTTATCCTTGTTTTTTTTAGAGACAATTAGTGCTGTGACATGTTTATCTACCTACTACTTTCGGCAGTGAAAACCAGCCGTAATAAAAATCGATAAATCCACACGGACACGACAAAGTGACACTAGTCGTATATTCATTAAAAAACTATAACATTTTAAAATTACTACGAGGAAAATATTTGACTAAAAAAAATCAAAACTTGCCCGTCTGGTATTTCTCGATTTAAGTTTCTGTTTTATTTCGCTATAAGTCAGTTTAAGAATATTAATAGCACAAGGAGGCAAAGTATCAAACAGGTTAGGTCTTTTTTAAATTCACCTTTATCCTGTCTTTATTAGAAATGCATGAGAATGGGAAGAGAGTAAAAGTCTCTTGTAGAAGACTGTAATCAAGTTTGTGCTAATGTTTATACAGCAAGTGTACCGTGATAAAGCCAATAAAATATTAGGGAATTTTTAAAGCGTTGTCATGATCATTATAAACCAGCATTTATCCCTTTCACTCCTTGCAAAAGTAACGTAGCAAGCTTTTTATATGTACATTTTGAAATTCAAATGTAAGGTCACAAATATACGCTAAATGACTTCATTGTCGGTCCGAATCATTTAAATAAATAATATAGATGTAAAGAAGTTGTCTTTGATAAAAACAGGTTACAGGTCACATTTAAATGTTTGGCAATTTTAAAAGTAATTTATTAGACAAAATATTGTATACATAATCGAAACTTCGCACACATATCATTACATGAAAACAAATTAAGTTTCCAGTAAAGAAACTTCAAAATTTAAAAAAAAAATCATGATTTCGTATTTCAGTTCCGCCTAGCTTGTTCGTAATTTCCGTAGTTGCTTTCGGTTTTCTGCCCGTAGCTGGATAGGTTCACCGCGCCTTTATTGTTATTCAAGTTAAGATTTTGATTGTAGTTGCCATCGCCTTGCTTATCGGCAACCTTCTGTTGGACGGCTATTGGGTGCTCGGCGAAACTCTTCTGCCCTTGTGCATTCGCCGGGGGTGCAGTGTTACCCCCGAAGATTGTGCCGAAGAAAGCATTTGTGATCGCACTCGGTATGGCCGTGAGAAATGACAGATCGCCGTTACACTCCACAGCCATCGATACCAAGCAAATTACTATCAGTTCTCTCAACATTTTTAAGTCTTAAAGCTGCTACTCGTATGTTAGCGCGACTGGATGCGTATGCCCGCGATGACTGTGGCCACCGCTATTTAAATTGTACGCCCGCCTTACTTAATGACT